ATTAGGATGTGGTCATCTTTAGGCCATTATTATACCTACAACAAGCCTATCTAGTGAGTTTTTCTTTCATTTGTTATAATTTTAAGTTCTAAAACTTGCATTTGGTTCTTTCTATATCTTATATTTCTTTGCTGAGACTATTTTTCCATTTGTTTCACAAGTGATTGCAGTTGTCTGTTGGAACATTTTTTATGATAGCTGCTTTAAGATTCTTGTTAGAGAATTCCAACATTCGTGCCATCTTGTTGTTGGCATTTGTTGATTTTCTTTTTTCATTTGAGTTGAGATTTTCCTAGTTCTTTGTATGACAAAAAATTTGGACTGTATCCTCTGCATTTTGAGCATAATGTTATGACATTATGGTTCTTATTTAGATCTTCTATTTTAGCTGGCAGTTAACAGGTTTAGGTTCAGAACACACATCCTGGCCCACTTTTGTGGTTTGTGGTCCAATATCAATTTAGTTTTGAAAGCCTTTGCAATGCTGTTCTGATATACCCTGCTTATGTGCACCCAGAGGCCAATCAGAAATGTGGGAGGCATTCCTCACCAGAGTTCAGTTCTCTGATCATTTGCTGTGTTGATTCTGGTTGGTTTCACACAGTGGCCTCTTGGGAATTTGCCCAGGACTTCATACACAAATGTAAGAATCCTTTTCTTAGTTCCCTTCTCTCTGTAATCACCCCCCACCCCCAAACCTCACCAAAACTCTCTCTAACCTCTGCTAGACATTTGTCTAGTGCTGGGCAGGTCTCCACCCCACAGTCTCAGGGTGTAGTAGAGTAAGTGAGGGAATAACACCTCTTGATGTTATTGTGGGGCAGATATGGTTGGTAGAGTTTTATACTTTTCTTTTTAAAAGTTTCATGTATTTTGTTGGGATTCTTTATTGGCACCTTGTATTGTTTGATGCTGTTCTTACACTTTTGAATATTTTAAGAACTAAATTTGAAGCTTAAGGTAGGCTGGTTGGAGATTTGGAAGGTGTGGCACAAGATCATCACATAAAAATGGTGGGAGGCCTTTCTTCAGCTAGGGGACTACTTGACTGAATCAGTAAACTGAGACTGGATCATTACTAAGCTTTACCTTTAGGATCAGTCAGGATTAATTTTATAGCATGTGAATTATATCTCAATAAGGATTTTTGGGAGAGGGAGGGAATGAGTGAGCACACTTGTCGTTGTTTCCCAGTCTTTTAGTTTTCCTTTTTCAACAGTCCTTCCAAAATAATAACTCTTCTTTTTTTTAGAGTCGGTGCTTAAAGATTTTTACAAAATGTTAATTTCTTTGCTCATCCCTGCTTCTTGTTTCCCACTAACTGAATTTCCTACTTCCTCAAATATATCCTTTTGTTTTTGTTTCAGTGAGGGACATACATTTCAGTTCCTTTTGTTTGAAAATATCTGTATTTTTCCTTCACTTTTTAATAATAATTTCACTGAGCACCAGATTCTCAACGGATGTTCCTTCAGCACTTTGTGAAGTTATTTCATTCTCATCTGGTCTCTGTTGATCTCTTTGAGAAGGCAGCTGACAGATTTATTGCTATTCATTTGTAGGTAATTTAACTTCTTTCTCTCTGGTTACTTAAGGGTCTTCTCTTTCACGATGATGCTTCAGAATGTTGAATCCCCCTCCCCT